GTACTGACCTCACGTGCTCGTGTCATTCGTTTTGCTGGGGGTTCGTTTTCCTTGGATATGTTATCATACTGGAGCTTCCTTTTGGCATTCCACGTTTTGAACCCTCCGTGTAACCTTTTTATTTTTGTTTCTTTTCTGGTTTCGATCGCTTCCACTTTCCGAAAGCGACCTGACGCATTACGGATGTTGTGTAGGCGTTGTGTAAACTTCTGGTCTTTCACTGTCAATATTGTGCTCATTACTGGAAAGTATCGATGCCGTTTCACTCTCGTCAAGTAAACTTGGCGATTATGTGACAAAAATTGTGCAGTCGCGTGAAGCCGCCATGTTTGTTTACATATTTGATGCCATTTAAAAGCTCGCGCCATTTTCGTACCCATTCTTCGCCCGGCCAAAAAACCCTATTGAGCCACCTTAAGCGGTAATTATCCTGAAGCTAAACTATTACTCACTTGTTTGGCTATTCCTTAGAGCATCTACATTACGTAATAGAAGACTGCAAGACCTGATGGAGTTAGCGTTCAACGTACAAAGTAAATCTCTGAATTATTCCAAACAATGGAAACTAACTACAATTTACGTACACCAGACTTTGATATACCGAAATATAATACAGTAACCTATGGAAAGCATTCTAGCAGACATCTAAGGCCTTATTTATGGTGCCAATTACCGGGAAATGTACGGACACCATGTGACTCGAACAGTTTTAAAAGACAAATTAAGAAAATGGACCTAGAAAATTTCTTTTGCTTGAGAAATGTCCAACTAGCTGTTCTTTATGTGATTCTTAAACTATAATCATTCATTAATTATCATTATTCATTTATTGGTCATTCCTAAACTATATTCCTGCAACTTTTAACATTGTGCATACACACATAACTCTTTATTTCTACCACTTATACTAAGTATATATTAGTCTTATTTTGTTATTTATGTTTCGGTGTCCCCAATTAACAACACCATGCTAAGAGTATACACGAAACTTGAATAAAGTTTACTTGCTTACTTGCATTCCGTAAGCTAGCAGAGGGCGTCTGATTTTCTTTGCGTATTCGAACACCTATAAGTTTTAAAAAAAGTTCCGGGTTAAAATTGAGCTGCATTGTGGACTTGAAAGAGGACAACTTAATTAAACCGATAGGTCAAATGTTCTTCGCCGAAGCCGTTGAAGACGGGAAGCAATCTGATTCTAGCGTAGATGCGACTCACTCAAATTGTTTGAATCTTTTTCCGATCTTGTAATTTTACGGCCACGAATGTCCATGAATAACGTTTTTAACTAACTTGTTTACATGATATTTTTTCTCATCAGTTAGTCGTTGCTATGAAACTTGTTCACTTCGCAGTGGGGATCTCATGCAGAGTTGAATGTAATAGTGACATTACCTAGAAGAACCAGTTAGCAGAACACAAGAATACAAATAGCTATTGGTCCAATAAACCAAACAGGCAATCCAACTAGCTTACGCAAATCGTATAATTTATTCAAGTATATTATTATTCGATCTAGAGAAAAGAATGAAATACATTTGAGAAACTGAACAGGATCTATCGGTACATAAACGCACGAGTCAAAATATTAGCTAGAATTACAGCACTCATAACTTACTTCTTTGGCGATGTCTAGTAGGATTGTTTCACGGTATACAGGTCAGCAACAGATATAACAGATCAGGGTATAACAGAATATATACGGGTCAGCGCGACAGGTGAAAAAAAAAAGGTAACTTCGAATCTAAAACATCTGAACTGAAAGCAGACTTATTCACGTGGCTTAATTGCGTAACTTAGTGTCAATCAAACTCAATCAGGAAATCAAGTTAATAATTCATCGTATTGACGAAACAGCTATAGAAAAAAGATTAAGGAAAGGATCAAGAGTCAGAGTAAAGGCCAAACAGAGGCAGAGTACAAAATGATTGAAATAGGAGAAGAATATTAAGTATGTAGCTGGCAACAGAATGAAAGAGATAGGGTGAACTAGACCTGAGGATAAATGTATGATAAACAGTGTGACGTTTGAAATCACTAATACAAACAAAGAGTCTTATAATTAGCTGAGCTGAGAACGTTTTTCCCAAATTAGTTACAAAACTCGCGGAAATTTGTGGGCTGGAAACTGTTCGCAGATTAAAACAACTAAGTCGAGAAAAACGTAATTATTTTGATACTTTGGCTAAAATTAGTTCAGCTAGTGTCGTGCCGTAAAGTCATTTCTGAACACCTAAAGACTGTCAGCAATTAGTCCATGGGCCAGAGGGAGTCTCGGTACTACTCAGGGGGGCAACAGGTCAATGATATCTGATGAAAGGTTATGTATGCGAAAGACTTTACAAATTCACTTTAACAGCAATCGTGAAAGGTAGCCTTCCCAATTTTTACGTACCCGTTTATTTGAAAAATTACCGCTTAACATGGAAACGAGGCGCACGATAAAACGGTCATTTACAATGCCTTCTTTGTTTATTGTAGAAATTAAATCAGTACGTGTGACATTTAACAGCATTTCAAAACAATGCTTTGGCTAAAAGCCAAGATTTTTTCACTTAGTTTTAAAGAAAACTTAAGCGAAACCATGGGGTCAAACTTACAAGGCATCATGGGTAAGTTCCAAAGTAGCGTAGTCTGTCAAAGTTCTTTCGATTCCTCACCCTGCCGTTTTATGACGCTTTAAAAAAGACAGTCAATAAACAAAGAACACAAAAATAGACCTAAAGCCGGAATTTTCGGTGCTCATCAGTGAAGATAATTGTAAACAGACAAGTGGCGGCGGAATATTAATCATAAGCTATTGCTTGATTTGGCGGAGAGTACTATGGAAGCTAAGATTTCACCAGTGAGCTATGAAAGGCTTCCATGGCTACGGCTTTGTCTCTCATGATTTTCCAGCAGCTGATACTTGAAACCTCAGCCAAAAGAGTCTATTAATGAATAAACAACATGGAGAAGACGTCTAATTCATGAGACATCGCTACGACATTTTGTAAGGCGTGTTAACACATGCTATTAAAGGACGTTACGTAAGGACAACGAGAACGCCGACGTCAACACCAAGGGACTGGGTCGAGACGTTGCCGTTGTCGTTGACGTGGTCGGCCATTTTATCCTTACCGTACCTGAATGCCAAGAGTTCGGGAAGTTCTCTTATTAACTCACCACTTCAAGTTCTTGAGCCATGAGAAGTTTGTTCTCTTGTACGGTTTGAACAAGCCAAAGAATCCTGAAAGACCACGTAGAAAGAAGCGCTTCGATATCGATGATCTGTGCGATGATGAATGTCAAACGAACTTCAGGTTTCTCAGAAATGACTTCTACAGACTGACTGAGGTCTTGGACTTCCCGGATGAAATCG